GAAATTTAACTCGACTGACGCAGAATGCCGGAAATTGAACGAGGCAAAGTTGGTGCCCTCTTCCGTCTTCTCCAGAAGACAATGTGTTTGATAAAAGATACATCAGTACTCAGCCATTCAATCTTGTTTTTACTGAAGCATTTCATGAAATATTTTTTTTTTGGTTTCTTTTTTCAGTGACTACTAAGGTGAAAGATATGTTTTCCATAACCTCCTTAATCTCTTGAGTGACCAATTAAAACTACCCTCTCCTTTACCTTTGTCACTTGCCTTGGAATCTCTTCACTCTCCACCTGCTCCACAGATTTTTCAGCTGTGTGATAGCAAAGTTATTAATTATGATGAAGTATAAGGACCTTAAGACAGACGTATATAAAGCAATAGACTTGCCCTCACTGTCACTTTGTGAGTTAGCCAGAAATTGGCCCAGATGGCAGATAAGTTCAAGAAAAGGTGACTTCCACTATATGCGGAAATAAAGGAAACTTATGTCGCACAATGTACAGTTCAAGAAAAAAATCATTCTATTTACCTTCCTCAGCTAGCTCTTTAGTCTCAGGCCTTGTCTCTCCTCCTTGGACTGCAGAAACTTGCACTTAGTACAAAAAATTTATAGTCAACGAATGACATTCATTTGAGTAATTGAAAATAACGAATCGAAAGTGATCGAAATTGTGGGAGGATCACCAGAGAGAGAGAGACACTTCTTAAAGCCTTTGTTCAATTGCCATCAATTTGCCAGATAACTGTTATCCCTGTTGCTTCAGGTACTAAAAGAATGAGCACAAAAGACAATGCAATGCAGATTCCTCTCAACTTTAAAATATTTCGACTCAGAAAGCGAAATAAAATGTTGAGACTAAGCTGGTACTCTATTTCAGTCAAACGTTTTTTCAACAACTTAAAATTGAAAATATCTTGACGTTAACCAAAGTAAGGTTATGTGTCCACCGAAACCAATGTGTACGACAATTGCCATATATATTGCAAAGCTTGTATCAAGAGCTGCGAGTTACATCAACGGCGAGCCTCCACATATAAAAAAGGTTCCTGTAAGCACCTTAAACTTCAACTCCTGTAGTCGGATCTTTCATAAATTCAATGTGAAATAATGGTTTCATAAAAAAGACACTTATCAACATCAGAGCCTTACGTCAAAGAGTAGACAATCCTAGTTACAAAAGGAGTTCAACATATACCTTCTTTTTTACTTTTTCGTCGTTCTTTTTCTCCATGATGAACAGCAACTGCAATAAAGAATATCCTTCTTTTTAAATAAGTTGTAAATTGTTTGGGAAAGGGTCCGGCGTTGATAACAAATCTTATTTAAGTCTAACTACATTCAAACATGAATAGAACTACCCCCTTCCCTCTATTCCGCCAAAGAGGATTAAAACAGTTTCAGGCAAAATGTGAGAACCTCTTACTCACACAACTAACTACCTATATTTTTTAGCGTGGGAAATTAGAAATTCGCTTTTTGCGTTCGAATCTCCGTCCTATTTCATTTTTTTTTTTCTTAGAGGTTAGCTTTGCTAATAATTATCTATTGATGTTATTAACCAGGTATTACGCAAGAGTCTTCCATAAAATATACAACGCCTCATGTTGAGTGCGTTAAAGACATAAATACTTCTAATTTTGCACAATTTTTTCACACCTAGTGTCCGCGAGACTATCAATCCAAAGTTAAAAAATCTTTTTTTTTTTTGAATTTGCAATGACTCGTTACTTTCAGTAGGTAGGGAAGGCTTCTCTTATAAATTCCTTCGTAGGAGAAACTTGGAGTCTTTTTGTATAAACTGGTGGTAACAGCCAGCACTAATAATATAGTTTCCAACAAAAAGTTCTTTACCTTCCACAGTCTTTTAGTGGCTGGTCTGATATCAAAATCATCCTCATAATCTGTTTCAAACAACAAGTAGAGTGAAACATGTCATAACTTTTGTTGTTCGTTTATTCTTCAAATGAATTTTACAGAAAATAATATTCGTATGACGTAATTCAGATACGAAATCTTAAAAAAACAAATAAACAAACATAAAATACCTTCGATAAAGTTTACTGTACAGTTTAGTTTCCGCATTGAATGCGCATAAACCTAACAACTTCTAGCACGATAGATTACTCCAGTTGAGTTAAAACTTGGTTAAACTTGTCATACAGCTCGCATTGTTTTACATCTGCGAGTTTGTGCGCATGAGATAGTCTGTTGAAGTCATACTTTTGCAAAAGACAGTTGATTTGACTGAATACTTTCAAGTTCTTTATTCATTCCTACTACTTTATTTCTTGCAAAGTAGTTGGCGATTTTAGGAACAGTTGTAAAAAGCGGTTGAAGTCATAGCTTCAGTACTGATATTGTGAATGAAGCGGCTGTCTACGACTTTATTTCATATATTTTCATGAATGAAGTTTCAAGAGGAAGAACAACAACATCAACTGAAATAATGATAATAATAATAATAAGGATAATAATAATAATAATAATGATAATAATAGCAGGAAATTTAAATTCAAGTTAGAAGACATTATACCTGAGGAAGATGGAGTCTCATCCCCACCACAGGCTTGTCCCATTGCTGTTGATGGTTCAAATCGTTATGTTAGAGTTATTTATCAGATAATAAAAGCAAAAGATAAAACATTGAATGATCATTTCAATACGTATCATTCATATATTAGATCTGTGCCATATTGATAACGATATTACCTTCGTTGCACATGACACCTGTGCAGGTTTCTAATTTAAAGGGATGGGGATCTCAAAGGGAAGTTCAGAAACTGGGTCGTTGAAAAACTGTCGTCAGAATTGTTGTATGTAACTTGTGAAAAAACTAAAGGATTTTTTTTTGCAATTATTAACCAAAGGTGACAAAACCAATCCCATTTATGTCATTTGAGGAAACATTTTTAATCTTTCCCTAACCAAAATTCACACGTATCAAAATAGAAAAGAATAGTATGTTTCATCATAGGTATTTCAATTTGAAAGAGCTCACCCACTTCAGTGGATTACTTGATTACAGTTGAAATCAGAAAGTCAATCACATATTAACATTAACATCAAAACATTATACATTTATACACATAAGTAATGAATGCGAGTTCTGAGTCGACCTATTAACCTCAAAGATTTACCGTTTGATTCCCTAGTTTTCTAATTGGCTAGTTTTGAAATGATGTTTTAAGGAAATAAGCATACATATGGAATACTGACCCGGTTGCGGAGCAGGCAATTCAGGGGCTTCCACTTCTGGGACTTCGTTGTGTTCTATTACTTGCATTTCAATCTGTTCTCCTATGGGGGAAGATAATGCAGACACAAAAACAAACAAAAAAATGGGATTAAGAAGGGAAGAGAAGAAACGAAAGAAAGGTATTACACACAAAACCATGACGAGGCAAAGAGAATATACACATTGGGAATCACTATATTTACCCCTTCGTTGTTAGCGTGTTCATGTCCATTTCCGATCTGTCCCTGCTGATTATTTACTCCTTCTAAGTAATAAAATAGCAGTAACATATCTTTTTTGGTCCTCTCCAAACGGAGAATAAACTACTGTTAAGCCTATCCAAATATTTTAAGGAGGAGGCGGGGGGTAGTTTCTGAAGAAGCTGTGGCGCTGCGTCGGTGGAGGAGTATAACACCAAACTATCTCGTCCACATATTGATTTTAAAAAAATCCTTCTACCAGTCAGATTGTTTCTTTCCTTGATTGAATTGAAGACCGAAGCTCAACCATTTATTGTTTTTTAATTGCTTGTTTGCCCCTTAATAATTTTTGAAGTAATAATGATAATTCCAATAATAATTCAAATAAATTTCTGAAGTGCATTGTTCTAATCTCTACTCACACCTATACCCCTTTCAAGGTCTGATTATGATATGTATAAATGGACTATAGCACCGTGCCTTCTTGATTTTGTCCACTGCTGAAAATCGATCGAACATTGGACCACGCCTTCCTCAATTTTGCTTTCAAAACAGCTTGAACCTATACAGTAGAAATTTAGTTAATAAAGTATGTCGGAATATAGATCAAACCGCTTTTAAATTCAAGTTGGTCTCCATGGTTATAACCAACCGCGGAGAAACAAACTAACAACTTTGCGATCATTCATATTTTTTCCCCTGCCCATTTTTTCTCCTTTTGGGTTATTTTTTTTTCTGTCATAAGGAAATGAGAGAGACCGTCTTTGATTGACAATAGGAAAATTTCTAATAAAAAAAAAAACCGTTGGGACCGCGGGTGATTGATTCAGATAACTATCTCGCAAAGATGTCTCTTAAAACAACAAATGAAAGAATGTTCCATTCAAAAGCAAGAGAAAAATGGTACCTGTGGAGTAGAAAGGTATACAGCAGTGGGTTGATAGCTGAATTGATCGGCAAGGCGAAAACTGCAATCCACACTGCCAGATCACCAGGTGGATCAAACGTTTTCTCGACGTGCGACTTAATGCCGATAGCAATGATTGGTACCCAAACACAAGAAATCGGTCAGAATAATGAAGAAGACTCTTTTGGCAAGTGCTCTTTCTCTTTTGGCCTGTGCGCTTTGTGCTCTTGCTCGTATTTCACGAACAGTTCCATGCGCACCCACCTGTCTGTTTGACGACCATGATTTCAACAAGATGGCAACATAAGCAACCGTAATAAATAGGAAAAGAGAAAATTTAAAACGATAAAGATGGAAGTGGAGAATTCCCAGCCTTCTTGTAATTTGGGGAAAGTTGCAGGGCAGGCACACCACGTTCTTGCCATAATACCAGTCACCAAAATATCGCATTCCAGACAACGGAAGGAATGCCATGATGCCTCCCACAAGCCAGATAACTACACACATAATACGGGTCTGCCTTGGTGTAATTTTTTGCAAACGTGTAAGGAAACACAATGTTCTTGAGCCTGTCCCATGCAATCAGAGAAATCATCATAACAGACACCTCGCTTGAAAGTACAGACATGGCCCCATTGAAATGGCAAAACCAGCCGGTGCGCCACTCATAGTCGTGCAGGTAGTATTCCCCTGACCATTGCAGGTCTTTATACCTATAATGATGAGGTAAATACCCATGATGCCGTCTGAAATACCCAGATTTACCAACATAATAGACTGGACCATATTGTTATCAGGAAAGAAATACTGCCACCCAACTACAAACACAGACCCAAACAACGAAAGAAGGCCGACAACCCAAAGACTTCTCCTTGGAGCAAGGTTATGGAACATGGAGTGACAACTTGCGAAGTTATCATTGAAGGCAAATTCGCAATCGGCATCCTGCCTGAAAAGATCAAGGTGGCAGCACATCAGGTTGGTGTCCAGAGTTCTGGAATTAGAAAAAAAGAGGAAATTAGAAAGGGTTCATCGTTAGAACAATGAGAGCAAAATTATGATTATCCAAAACGATCGGCAAGAAAATAGTGATCTATGCTGAGGCAAAGATAATTGATAACATTTTTTCATAAATTAATAGCAATTAGAAAGTCACTCGGAAGCATGCCTTAGGCAATTTTATTTAAAAATCTAAATAAGGCTTCATATCATTTCAGGATTGGAATTTATAGAAGATGTTAACGTGAATGAAAATTTATTGATCAACTGAACCACAATAGACTGAAGGAAACAAAATCATTAAAATGATTGCATCACCCATATCACAATTTGACAATAATTTCTATTTCCAAAGGTAATTCAGACAACATCCGCTCCAAATCTCCTTTCAAGCCATCGTGTTAAATTATTATAATGGAGTATTACACTCTGATAATGTGCGGCAAAAGCCCAAAAAAGCCTTTGGGGAGCTCAGCCATCAGGTTGTAGTGCATGAACCTGAAAGTTTAAAATAGAAGGTGAAAATTAAGTCAGATTATAATAAATTGCATATCTCATTTTCTCAAATAACTAGTTGCAAGTCTTTTCTTTGACTTTAACAAAATTAAAATTATACCCAATTAATTATAACACACTAAATTAACTTCACACCTGCATCTTATCCGATTGCAATACATGCGGCGTTATTGTAAGTACTGTGATAAAAAACTGCCATTTACAGTGAACTTACAAAAATCGCAGTTCCCGGGCATTACTGAAAGTCGTGCTGGTGACATTTTGTATTTTATTGCCTACGATATTTCTGCAAACATTAATAACATAACTATTAATTAGCAGATGGTAAACAGGGTCTTGCATTGTCTGATTCTTAAAATTTCACCTGAAGTTGCCGTCGGAACTATCATAGTTCTCAACTATGTTTGTTTGCTTTTTTGATAATATCTACCTTTGCTCGATAAAACCATGTTTATAGCAAGCCACATTTTTACGTTGAGAAAATAGCTAGTAATAAAATGAAGTTGTTGAGCATTACAATTTACACCACGCCTGTTGGAGATCATGTTAACATTTTCAAATAAGAATTCCATATTATGAGTCTTTCTGTTATGTACATTTCCATCTTCTAAAAAATTTTAAAAATTGTTTCGTATGTTATCAGCTGTACTCACAGGCCCTTGAGGTTCTTAACTCCCTCAAATATCTTGTCAGGCAAAGCCTCGATTCTGTTCTCCGAGAGATGTCTTAAACAGGTAAGGGGGAATTTAAATTAATATACAAGTAACATAGAATAACTAGGTGTGGCACATCTAATTTAAACAGCAAAACTGATATCAAAATTATACCACAATTATATAGACCTGGTGACAAAGATTGTGATCCATTTATTATAGAGGCTAGTGCTAATAGAGGATACTAACTATATTTACTAAGGAGGTGTTCCCTATTATGGCTCCTGATTTTCTATTCCAACTAATATCTGTGCAAGTTAATTCCCTTAGAAACTCTTTTCCTTTCAAGCTAACTTGATCATTGCGGCTCTATAATCTGAAGGACGAATATGAACAGAAATCTCATTAATGCACTTGAGCCGTTTATCGCTTAAACGTGAAAATAAAAAACCTTGGTAATATATGATTGTCATGCACTTCTTCGGGTATCACCTCTCTCCATTTAAATATAGTTAGTTTGTAAACATTTTCTTGCCAACTTTTATTCATTTTATTAGTTTTTTTAAATTCATATGAATGGGCTGGTTCTAAAATATGCTTTAGATTGCAACAGACCATGATGAAAAAATTAACGTTTAAGTCTAAATGTACTCACAACTCGAACAACTCCACTAAGCCCTGGAATTGATCTTCATGAAGCCTCTCAATTTTGTTGTATTCCATTTTCCTGAAAAAGCGCGGTGCAGATGTTAGACTGAAATACACACATGAAGGGATATCTTTAAATCTACTTTTGTCTTAATTATCTTCTGAATTTACTGAAGTACAATTAGCTCCCGGGTTTGATATTTGAATATCACAGAAAAAAAGAAAACCTTAGACCCACATGAAACTTTTATGCTCTCAGGCTAGAGAAACTTTAGATTTTATTACCAGAAACCTCTGCTTCAGGTCTGTTGTTTAAAGCTGAGTTTGAAAAATCGTAAGTAAGCTATTGCCCGTTTTAGAAAAATTATTTAGGTTGCTTTAGTATCTAAGTCAACAAATTATAAGCCTCTATCGCAAAATATAATTGCAAGACAAAAACAATTTAGCAGCTTAAATTAAATAAGAAATGTAAATTGCTATAGACTAGGAAGCCGATTTACTCACTTATTGCTGTTATTGCAAGGTAACTCTTAGAGACAGCTTTTTTTATTTATCTTAACTCAAAGAGAATCTCACTTACAGAAATCTCACAGCTGTAATGTTTTTAAAGATGTATGGCGGTAGATTTCCAAGTTCATTATTTGACAAATCCCTAGAATGTAATAATAACTGTAGTTACGAATCTATTATCATGAAATTACCAATACTGATTCATAGAATAAAAAATATTGCCTGCTTTTTGAAGAACAACTGTTCATAAAATAATGTTTGCCTCCGCAGTAGTTTCCAGTTTAATGTATTTATTTTGAGTTCCTTAGCTATCTGGAGGAACATTATAGATGGTTAATTTTTTCAAAATCCGGCAACAAAACGCTGGTTATGACACTATCAAGAAACGATATAGTGCGGAACAAAAGAGCAGAAGATAATCCGTGAATATTTTCTGGGAAAAAATATCATGCAGAAAGCTTTTTTCATACAAAATAGAAAAATTGATTATAATATACTAAATACTAAATATACTATTTATACTTAATACTCTCACGACGACGAAAAAAAGGAATACAAAAACGCGGAATGTATCATAATGTTGCTACCTCGCGTGCAGTAGTTGAACAATACCCAACTTGAAAATGATCAACACTAATTAATCATTTTATTTTTATTAATATTATTTTTATTGTCATTGTTTTTATTGAGATTACATTTATTACTGTTGTTGCAGCCTTGGTTTACTGGTTTATCATGCTGTGCTAAAAGCAGGTGTTTTACCCGGACAAAATTTTGAGTTGCTAAGTTGCTATCAAACAGAAGCAAATCACGAATAAGGTTTTCATTGATTTTCAAACCTCCAAGTACGTCAACTTTACTCACCAAAGCACATCTACATAACATAGCATTCTAAAATTCACCTAAACAGTTTTACAAAAATTGACTGTGAAATTTTCATGACACGGAGACAAAAAGCAAAATCCCTAGAGTTTATTGCTAATCCTTATGGAGGAGAATGATCCTGGGGTTGTGGGTCTTCTTTTCTTTTGCTCTCCTTATAATCAGTGACTTCCTTCAGCGTAGTTTCATCTGGCAACTTATTCATTTTTATCACCAAAACTGTGTTGCAAATTTCGACTGATACCCACGTCAGACCTTTCAGTGTTACCTTACGTGTTTCTGTTAACTGAATGTGGCCACGCAGCTTTGAGAAATGTGCCTTTTTGTAAAAATTCAATGACCTCTTTTCGAATTTTTACTTTTGTTAAATGATTATTGTACTCACAGATATGTGAGGTTGGAGAGGCTGTTAAAAATTCCATCTGGTAGAGTCTTCAATTTGTTATTTGACAGATAGCTGATAGGAATGACAAGACAAGAAGGTGCGTCTTAATTTACCCTGTTATTTGAAATTCGTAGAAAAAAAAGGTATACAGACGCTGGTCACCAAGAATAATGAAAGAGCTGAATTTAATCGTGTACAAGCAATGTGCATAATCTCATAAAGAGAAAGGAACAGTTAATGCAGTGCAATCGTCTTAGCTATTTCGCTATTTCTACAGAAAAGGAACAACCGGTTGACAACTTGAAATTTGATCGCACACTAAACACTGCTATCTAAGGTTGGCAGGAGCTGATTATCCCTACTATTCCAGTGAATTATTCAGTATAGAAATCATCCAGCCCGTGTCTTATGAAGACATCTAACTAGTTCACAACAGAAAATTATGTAATGACCACACATTTTATGGCACGCATCGATTTCGTTGCTGTATGACTGAAAATCTCCTATTCTGATTATCAGAACAAAAGTGAGGGAACAGTTTAGGATGGTTCAATTGGTTTTTTTTTCTTTTTTTTAATTTTTTGTGCTGAGGGTAATATCAGAAAAGTTTGAAAATGGAAATATCTCGTCCAATCTCGTATAATTAGTGACGCGATAATATGGTGACCAGCATATTATTGTCTATATAATTACACGAGCAGGCCTGTTGTGGAAGGAGATGACATTGAAAGCTAAAAATCATCCCTTAACCAAAGTCATAAAGCTAAATAGCTAAAGAGCGTCTCCATGTAACTTACAGCTCATTTAGGCCTTTTAGATCTTTGAATAATTCGGGAGGCAATTCAGTGAAATTGTTGTCTTGCAACCATCTGTGTTGAAGAAGAGACATCTACTTAGTTTTATTGAAAAGCTTACAAAATTATTAGTCTATAGGTTAAATTGGTGCACGAGCGATAAGAGAATAAAAACTGAAACACAGTTATTTCTAATAACTGCATCGTGTGAAAAGCAACAGGAAAAATAATTACATATGTAACTGACAATAAATCACAACAAAATGCAATGCCATTCGATGCAATGCAATACGACCAAGTTCTATGAACTTATGCAACGAGTGAGAGGACCGAACTGGAAAATGCCTGGCTCGAGATCATGGCGCACTTACCGAGTGGAATGCAACGGGCTCTATGATAAACAGAATTTTAGAAGGACAAACCGATAATGGTTTCTCAACCTGATGCAATCTAAAGAATTCATATTTAATTTACCTCGGTTCTACAAGTTATCAACTGCGATGATTTACATCAGAGGATATGTTGATAAACCTTTTTCGGAGATATATTTTTGACAAAAAGGGTCGTTTGAGTGTAATCAGAATTTGAACCTTTCCTAACTTTTATTATTTGACTGATTTCAAAAAGTTATCAGTTCTCTTCGTTTATCTAGATCTGTTTCCTTATCATTGTACAGCATGAGTCATAAGACGGATGCCAATAGATTGCGATCCTGCGAACGGAAATCATTGTTACCATGTTTGACTTTGTTTTTACGAGAAACTTACAGTTCCTTTAAAAGTATCATGTTTCTGAAGGCGCTTCTATTTAATCCTTTCATGTCGTTGTCATTCAGGCGCCTGCGTTATTTACCAAATAAACTGATTAATAGTGTTAAGATACCCCTGAAGTTTATCGCTCAGGGTAGGGGAATCACCGAGACTATTATTAATGTCTTGCCGATTTGGCAAAAATTTGCATTGCTTTCATAAATGATTATTTGCTTGTGCTAACTTCATCCTGAATACTCATCAAATCACACTGCAATATACTTAAATTATACAAAGAGAAAGTGTGGTTTTTAATTGCATTCGGTCTATAATGGAGATTTGATGAAAATATTTTGAATAAACACCTGGTAATGCCTGTTTTAAATGTGACAATCGATGTCAGAGTGCCTCCTTGATTTGAGTCCCAAGGTTTCTCTACGACACCTTGACTTGTATCAGTTTGAAAACAAAAATAATTAGAGGGTTTTAGAGCTATTCAGCAAAAAAAGAGGCACATCTTAGCCGCACTTCAAGAAAGATTTGGTAATATTTTATGTATCATTGAGTCTCTTAAATTTCTTGTTCTTCTGGATATGCGAAATAGGTGCTTTACATTTGTTTACGTACATAAATAAGACTCGCTCGTCAATAATCCGGAGTTTAAATCGTTAAGACAGAAAGTTTACTTACAAAAACTCCAATCTTGTGTTATTCTCAAAGATTCCCAGGGGAAGGTTGTGCAATTGCATTTCAGACAAGTACCTAATGATATAGTACACATGCATAAGAGTTGCATAAAGTATAAATAGCAGCAATACTGTACCAGAACTTTTGTTAACATTTAAGGATAACTTAAACTAATAACTACATTTTTGTAGTTATTGCGATTTCATGACAAATTTGTTTTCATTTTTTTCCTTAATAGGCTGCAATACGATTTATTTCCGTAACGAAAAAATAGCAAAACAAAGTGCGTTAACTACATATTTTCTCTTTCTTCATTTATCCATGCCAGCTAGTGATTAACAATTTCCGAGTGAGTTACGCATTTCTCGGATTGAATTAAGTTTTTTTAAAAGCTATGACCGTCACTTGAAGTCCAGTGAAAATCTCAGTGAAAATTATGTTTTGAAGTTAATTAATTCTCATCGTCTTCTGGGCCGTAAGACCTTCTAATCACGTGTCTTCTAGCGAAAGACATTTGAAAGTTTAATTTTGAAAATATCATGGATTCCTAACTCCCTTTGAAGATTGATAGAGGAGAGTATACATAGAAAAGTAGGAAAATATTTAAAATAATGACAGTAACAGGGGAACCGGGCAAATTCGAAATGAAACACAGAAATTAAGATCACCACCCCTTCCTTCCTTCCCCCTTGTGTTTTCGTTACGTTGCGATATTTTGAAACGTTTTTACCTTAAAGAAATACCTGCTATGTCATCTACAAGATATTGTTAATATTATGGGATACATATGCAAATGATGCTGCTGGTAGCCAGTCAGGCCCTAAAAGATTCTGCCAGTAAGAATGGAAATTATGCTACCTCTTCCTTAATTTCAACTAAGAAACAAACAAAAAAAATCCAAATTGTTGATAAAGCATGATGTATTTCCTTCACTTTTTTGTTAGTTATTTACTTATTCTGATAACTGCCAGCGAGGTGTGCGGACGAATATTTGATCACTCGGCGTTCATGCAATTTTTCCCTCTATGCCTAGTCCGAATGTTAGCTCGCTTTAGAGAATATGTAAGCTTCAAATCCGAAATTGCTGTTCTGAAAAAAAAAATTGAAAACTTTTAGAATTCGCTTAAACTTAGCGTCAACGATGCTAATGTCTCCAACAATGACGGCGAAGTGAGTCGACCGGCGATATCACAGGACGAGACTTTGAAAACCCTGCAATTTTATGTCAAGTCTTACGATGACCTTCGCCAGTAAGCGGATAAAAGTTTGCAACAGCTCTGGTCACGCCTGAATGTCCTGTCAAAACGAGTGGAAGAGATTGGGAAATCCATCGAGCTGATTCAGCGCTACAGTTATCAATACAACGTAAGATCGTCGGTCTCCCTGAAATAAAGGCAAGTGAGTCAGCATTCGACACAATTATATTATGTCTTAGCCTCTTTCAAGCTGCAAGAGTTGAAATCTCTATTCCAGATATCGATATTGCTTATCGTACTCCCACAAGAAACGCCATTCCTGGCCCAAGACCAGTCGTTTGCAAGTTCACAAGAAGAACTGCGAAAGAGAAGGTCATGAATTTACGGAAAGATGCATGTAAGGTTACAGCTTCTTCAATTGGTTAACCTGCCGATTGCACGTCGGAGAACGAGAAGCTTTTTGACCATCTAACTCCACAGGTCCAACAACTCCTAGCGGATATGAAAAAAGATTCAAACTCGTAATGGCTTCAGGATTTGTTGGTGTTAGAACTTTACCATCTATCTACGGCAAACAGAAGACTTCCGCCCTATCCAGTTCAAAACCCTTGACGACCTTGAAAGGTTTGTTCGACAAGAGAGCCTACCTTTAAGCTAAGCACTCTGAATTTTGTAGTTTAATCTGTAATTTAATTTGCAGCTTCTATGACGGCTGACAAGACACACTTTCAATCTTTCCTCCCTTTTAATCACTTGAATAATAGTTCCTTTAATTTAGCTGTTTATGAATTTTCTTCTGTTCCTTGAGTCACGATGCCGTCTTGAAACGTTATTTAATCTTGTTGAAAGGCCCGAATTGTTTAATCCGCTTTCTATTTATCTGAATCCCGACACTAACTTTATCACTCGCCGGCCTAATAGTGGCTATTGGTTGGGAAGACCTAAGTAATCGAGTAGTTTCTTTTGGCGACAAAACAAATTTTTCTATTATACATTTAAACGCTCGAAGCTTAATAAGAAATTTCGATCAACTTAATTCATTCCTGAGAAATATTAATATGCCGTTCTCTGTGATTGGTGTGTCAGAAACTTGGCTAACTCATTGCACTGCATGGCTCGCAAATATCACAGGATACAATTTTGTCTCCAACCATCGTAAATCAAAAACAGGCGGCGGAGTTGGAATTTATTTACAACAGAATGCAAATTTTCAGATCCAGATGTAATTGAGCCACTTTTCTAGGAACTTATTGTTCCCCACGGAAAACAATGTTACTGTCGGTTGCGTGTACAGACCACCAAATCAAAACACTGCTATGTTTATTGAAAAATTCAACAATATTCTCTCACTAATTTCTAAAGACAGTAAACATCGTTACATGATGGAAGACTTTAACCTAAGCCTTCTCCAATACAATTATCATGTTCCAACACAGGAATTTATTGACAGCTTATTTTCACACGCCTTTCTTCCTCTCATCTCCAATCCAACACGCCTCACCTCATACTCTGTGACGCTAATTGACAATATATTCATCAACAACCTTGCACATAATGTCTTAGAGGCATTATTCTAAATGATTTATCTGACCACTAACCCATTTTTGCATATTTTAACAACGTAACTCTTACGCGCAGCACAGAAAGGAAAATTTTGATAAGCACATTCAATGACGATAATTTGCATAAATTCAACGAGAACCTATCAAACGCAAAATGGTTCTCATTCCGCAACATGGAACATTCCAATGAAGCCTATAATCATTTTATTGAAGAATACTCCAGTATCTACAGCGTCTGTTTTCCTTTAAAGGTTCTCAAAAGTAAACAAGTGAACAAATTATTTTCCCCCTAGCTCAGCCCTGGAGTTCTGACATCTGTTAACAAGAAGAACAGACTCTACAAAAAGTTCGTCAGATCACCTTCCGCATCTTCTGAGACGAAGTATAACGCCTACAGAAACAAACTCACCCATCTTACTCGAATTTCCAAACGAAAATACTACGACTCCAAATTTGAGAATGCCAGAAATGACCTCAAAACAGTTTGGAAATTGTTAAATGAGGTTATCAACTAGCGTAAAAGTAATTCGTCTCTTCCCACATCATTCAAATCTGAAGGCAGAAAATTAACGGATCCAATGGAGATCGCTGAAAGATTCTGTAAATACTTTACAGACATTGGCCCCAACCTTGCCAGATCTATAACAGTGTGAATCCTTCTTTTCGTTCCCATCTTGGTGATAATAATCATTCCTTCATTAACCGAAAGCCCACCACAACTAGTGAACTGGAAAGCATTTGTGGCATGTTCGCTTCGCTCCTGGCTATGACAGTTTCGCAATGCATGTCATTAAGTATTTATTTCACCTTATTTCTGCTCCTTTGGCAGATATTATCAATCTATCTCTGCTAAAAGGCATTTTCCCGGACAAACTTAAAATCGCGAAAATTATTCCCATCTTCGAAGCAGAGGATCCTAGCTTCTTGGAAACTACAGACCTATTTCTTTATTGTCTAATCTTTCCAAATTTTTTGAAAAGTCACATACAATCGCTTACTTGAATTTGCCAAAAAACACGATATACTTTACCGCTGTCAGTTTGGATTTCGGTAAAATCATTCGACATCGCACGCGGAAATTCATTTGGTAAATAAAACTGCTTCGGCAATCGACCAACACGAAACAACGGTGGGTGTTTTTCTAGATCTTTCTAAAGCACTCGACATTCTCGACCATCAAATCTTGTTTGCCAAATAGGAGCACTATGGTATCAGTGACGTGGCTCTGCAGCAGCTTAAAAGCTACTTTTCTTGCCGCCTGCAGTTTGTCTAAGTCAATCAATCTTGCTCTCCAATGCAAACCATCAAGTGTGGCTTCCCTAAAAGTTCGATCATGATTTTAGGCCCTCTATTGTTCATTCTATACATAAATGACCTCCCTAATGCCTCTGAATTAACAGACCCTCTGCTTTTCGCTTATGACACCAGTATCTTTTATTCTCATTCAAGCCCAAATTGCTCAGAACCCGTACTTAATGATGAACTCCAAAATATTGATGTTTGGCTGAAATGTAATAAGCTTTCAGTTAATATAAAGAAAACGAACTACATCATTTTTAAACTCAGACAGAAGAAATTTAACTCCAGCATTTGTCTCTCCTTTGGAAGTAAACCTCTACAACAATCTAACACAACCAAATTCCTTGGGTCTATATTGACGATCATCTCACTCGGAAACACCATATCAGCCATGTATCTAAACAAATCGCTAAATCAATAGGTATTATATTTAGGTCTCACTTTTTCCTATCCTCTACGATCAAACCCACTTTCTACAACACCTTAATTTATCCTTACATCGTCTATTGTAACTCCGCCTGGTCATCCACATACGTATCTAACTGAAATAGAATTTATTATTTGCAAAAGCGAGCTGAGTGGGCTATCACCAACTCAGACTATCAAACCCATTCCGCTCCTTTATTCTACAAACTAGGAATTTTTAGATACTTTCCAAGCCAATACGTTTGAAATCGCCAAATTCATGTTTTATTATAAAAATAACTTATTGCCCCTATTGCTTCTCAATCCGGCTTTTTGTAACGAATAGCTAAATTCACAACTGTGATACCAGAACAGCCACTAATTATCGAACGCATTTGCGTCGTACAAATCTCAAGCAATTTACAAATTCAAACCTTCTTAGCTTTCGGACGAAAATGCAAGAGTTTTTATTTTTAAATAATCACTGAGTTGGCCTAGTCACACATTTGCAGCACTTTTTCTTTCTCTTATTTATTATTGTAAGTGAGGTGGCTCTCCCATAGGCCCGGTGGCTTTCTGGGTCTCCTCGCCTGTAAATAAATTTTTGTATCGTGTAAATAAGGTAAATAAAGGCGATGATGATGATAAAACGTATTTACACCAACTAAAACACCGACTACTTGGTGGAGTGGTGACTAAGTGTTAACAAATGTTTGATGTTAACATCACATTTCCTTTCGAAGCCATTTTATTGCCTGTGAAAGCGGAGACTGGGATCAAAACAATCTTTACTTCTGGTGTTCCCTTATCTCTAGAATCCGAACGACTCAGCATTGTAGTAGCCCGAAGACGAAGTTCTTCTTTCCATTGCAAAATTGAAAATAGACTGATTGGCCTAATTAGAAAATTAGTCAGTCTTAGAGATCAGAAAGGTCACGACTTTGGTAAAGTTCCCCTCAAAAGAAACTGAATATATGCTGATTTTACTGGTAGGGCTACTTTTATTAAAAAACAAAAAAACAAACAAACAAGAGCCAAAAATTATGATGGTTTTTCTAAATCATGCCAAACCATCCAAGATGGCGGTTCTTTTTTTAGATTTTTAATTTTTTCCTCAATAATTTTCGACTCGTCAAAAGACGCTGAAAAACGACCTATGCTTCTTTTTTTTTTTAATCTAAAAACCTTTAATTCTTCCGTAACTCATATCAATTCCTAAACCACACTTCACTTGTTATTCAATATACTAAGCCGATGTTCACCAAGTTATCAGCAAATGTGTCCCCAAGATAAACGAATAGCTACTCAAGTGGACAGTTGCCCTTTAAAATCCTCTTGATTATAAAGAGAGGAAAAAAAGAAAAGGAAACCCCTCCTTAACCCCTTGTTTGTCCGCGGGTTAAATTGTCATTTTGTGTCTTTTGGTGTACTAATTGCTATTCGAAAAAACCAGGAAAGATTTATTACTCGACGTTTCGGGGTCATCGTGACTCCATTATCAAGAGACTAGTTTAAAAACATGCAAATAAGGAAAGGTACAAGAATAGCATAAATTAGAATGAACGGCTTAAACAAACACCTTGGCGCGGATGGAATCCGTTCGCACGTTCAGTGTTGGCTTACGCATGCGAATATACAACATTTCATTAACAAGGCAATCAAATTTGCCGTTACATTTCGCGATGACGTTGAATTGCTCGATCAAGCGTTCAGGCATTTCACTATTGTGCTGGAGGTGGTAGTGTCTGTAGATAGAAGATGATTTCCTTGTGTGCCCTTCTACGCGCTCGTGTAAGTGACCACGAGTATAGCCCACATACCCTGCATCACACAGGTTACATTTAAATTCATAAACGATACATTGTTGGTTAACAATAGGGGGCTTAATTTCGTGTTGCTTAAGCTGTTGATCGAGCTTAGGGCTAACGAACACTGGTTGGACAGTCACGCTTAACTTCGAGCTTAGACTGTTCAGTTGTTGTTTAACATGATTAGCTGACGACTGGTCCTTGAAGGGTAACACTAATCTCACAATCTCCGATGGTACATCTGGTGATGGACAGGGATCTGCAGATGAAATCCTTCTCTCAACGAACCGCTTAATTGTAGTTTCAACCAGTGGCTTTGGGTATTTCAAGTTATGAAAAACCCCTCTAAGGCGGTCACATTCCTCGGAGAAGAAAGACCAGTTAGAAGATAATCGATAAGCGCGATCCACCATGGTGGATCTTCTGGTCTTTCTTCTCCGAGGAATGTGACCGCCTTAGAGGGGTTTTTCATAACTTGAAATACCCAAAGCCACTGGTTGAAACTACAATTAAGCGGTTCGTTGAGAGAAGGATTTCATCTGCAGATCCCTGTCCATCACCAGACGTACCATCGGAGATTGTGAGATTAGTGTTACCCTTCAAGGACCAGTCGTCAGCTAATCATGTTAAACAACAACTGAACAGTCTAAGCTCGAAGTTAAGCGTGACTGTCCAACCAGTGTTCGTTAGCCCTAAGCTCGATCAACAGCTTAAGCAACACGAAATTAAGCCCCCTATTGTTAACCAACAATGTATCGTTTATGAATTTAAATGTAACCTGTGTGATGCAGGGTATGTGGGCTATACTCGTGGTCACTTACACGAGCGCGTAGAAGGGCACACAAGGAAATCATCTTCTATCTACAGACACTACCACCTCCAGCACAATAGTGAAATGCCTGAACGCTTGATCGAGCAATTCAACGTCATCGCGAAATGTAACGGCAAATTTGATTGCCTTGTTAATGAAATGTTGTATATTCGCATGCGTAAGCCAACACTGAACGTGCAAACGGATTCCATCCGCGCCAAGGTGTTTGTTTAAGCCGTTCATTCTAATTTATGCTATTCTTGTACCTTTCCTTATTTGCATGTTTTTAAACTAGTCTCTTGATAATGGAGTCACGATGACCCCTGAAACGTCGAGTAATAAATCTTTCCTGGTTTTTTCTATGCCTTTGCTTTAGCAAATCCCCTGCTGATCAAGTAATTGCTATTCAGTAGTAAAAGGAATGGGGCCACCAAAACCCGTTTGTGATTGACAGGCGAAAAAAGCAGAAAATAAGGTTCTTTAAGAGGTCGTTGTGTTGCTATGATAACCTAAATTGTTAACAAAAAATAAAATGATCACAATCTGCTAAGGACTTTTCTTTCAATTTTTTTTTCAATTTAATTTTTTAATTTAACTATTTATTTATTTTTTGAAGCAAATGCCGTCGGAAAGTTGCCTTTGGCAATTGTCGAATGCTTCATTTTAGTTCCTTCCTTCCTTTCTCAAAATATACTTATGGTTCCTAAAATGTCTAATCTACGGAATTTAACACAAATTTGCTCCCAGCAAAATTCTTCATTTTGTGTTCATTATTGACAAAGGCCTCTACAGCTATATTATCATTTCCAATATAAAGCTATCAGCTAAATTATCTTATTAGATTCTAAAAGTAAAAGTGTCAGCGAGTGATTGACTATAAAGACAAATTATCATTGTAATGCTCTGTTTCTACTCTTACAACGTATTCAAATAAACAATAAACATACTTACAGGTACTCCAACTTGATATTTGTACTGAAAATATCTGACTGCAATTCCTTTAATGGGTTACCGGACAAGTAACTACAATTCAAGAACAAAAACAGTTAGAGTGCATTAATAAATAATAATAATAATAACAATAACAATAATAGTAGTAATAATAATAATAATAATAATAATAATAACAGTGATAATAACTTTTAAGGTTATTTTTAGCACTTCAAAACTAGAAACTACCAAAGAGGAAGATATTACACCCAAAAATAAATGTGATTAAGGTTAGACTGCGCATGTCTGATAGAGACTAGCGTGTTAGCAAGCGGTGAAGGTACCGGACCCGGTGGTCTGGGCTGGAGCCCAGGTCCAAGGTACTCATGGGATTTTTTTCCCCCAGTTCCAATCCGTGACTGTGTTCTTTAAATGACCGGATAGTCTAGGCACAGTCAGTAGGATTTTTACACCTCTCTATGTTTCCTGTCTTCCTTGTTTACCGTGCCCTTTTAAATTTATAACTTTGGGATTGTCATGTGGGTTATTTATCCATTGTGAGTATGTCATTCCCTTATAAGTAGTACCATTGTTCGCTTCTTGCGGTCTGATGGTGAACAGCGCATTCTTTGACACGTCAAACGCGCAGTCTCAATTTGCGCAGAAATTCAAGTTACAATGCAAGTCAGTCCGTTCAAACAATGGTGAAAATGTCATCTACAAGTTCATGAAATTTTCAGTACGGTAAATGCTGTGTTTTCAGAGTTCAAACAAATTCTGTATAGGTGCAAAATTTTACCCGAGCCAACAGGAACAAACTCATATCAGAGCTACGTGTTACGAAATTCTTGGTTGGTCGGTTGGTTATCTTACTCTTATCCCTTATTATGCTGTTAATAAATACAATAACATCCTCTACTTACAGAAATGACAGACGAACGTTGTTTCTAAAAATGCCTGAAGACAAATTCTTTAGCTTGTTTTCGTCAAGAGTCCTTTTACAAGAAAACATATCAAAGTACCGATTTAATTAGAGCTTCAAGATGATGAAAGACCTAATGTTTCCAAGTATTAAAGCTTACTAAAAGAACAACAATAACAGAATCAACCCTACTACAAACTTTTTGATTCAAATATACATGACATCTATCAAAACGATTTTTATCTTAGCACAGTTTTCTCTCATACTGCGTAAAAGAAAAAAAACATGCAAAAAGGAAAATAACTCAAAATAGCAATAAAAACAGGAAAAACATCATTGGCATCCTTGTGCACAAGCGAAAATGCAAAAAAAAAAGTGACAGCTCTGGTAACCCTGTTTACAAAAATGATGGAGGGAGGGAGTGGAGGGTGAGAGTAAAGGCTAATTTGAAACATTATTTCTTATTTTACCGATTATATTCCATTTATGAGAGTCTCCGACATGTCTATTCAATTTTTAACAATTCTCTTTTACAACAGACACCTTCTTTCTTGTAGAAATTAGAAGATTCAAACTCTATTTCATCACACTTTATGTATTTGCGTGATTGATGTCGTTGCTTTGAGCTTGATTTTTCTTCACAAATGTTGTTGATAGATATTGGACTACAGCCCCGCTTTCGCTCGACCTTTTCACCCACGATCCTACGAAATGTCTTGAATCCACAGCTATGGAAAAAAATTGCTTTTTATTTTTGTCTCTTCCAGGTTACTGGGTTTTCTATCCACACAGAGTAGCTCGTTCCAGCTTCTGACAATTTCTCATAAACGATCTACTTTGCAGAGAAGTCTCGCTTCGTAATACATTAATGTTGTTCTCGGGTACGGTCTAGACAATGCACCTGACCTAAGAAATGAATAGTATCTTGTGATGTTCTCTGATTAATTGTCCCCAAATTCAAAACCCTTCGTGTAGATCACATACGAAAAAAATATTTGTTTAACTTTATACCAATCCTTCGCATGTGATTTCAAAAAAAACCTGCGCGTGCCGTCTCTAAACAAAGCACTATACACTGTATGGCAAGAAAGAGGTTAATAAACTTATAATTTGATTGAACTTTAAGCAATCTTGATGTTCCCCCCTGACCCGAAGGAAGCCAGGAAAACGGTAAGAAAGAAACTAATGACGGGATACTTCTCCGTCGATTGGATAGGGTATCAAATATGACTTCTGATAAAAAGTAACTGCACAGTTTCAATCACAAAGAACAAATCTTCGAAGGGTTGTCAGCATTTCCCCATAATCTAATTAAATTTCTTTAAGAAGAGCTGTCAAGTTCAAGTATTAAGAAACTTGCGCTCCGAAGCCGCCAATAGAAAAGTATTTCATATAAAAACAAACAAACGGCCAAAAACAAAAAGACAAAAATAAAGCAGTTCATCATCGACATAAAATATTTTGAATTGTGTGGGCTCTCTCAATTTGTTAACTTTTCAGAAAAAATTTCCGACTGCCGGTCTACCGATCAGATAACCAAAGCATACCAATATTAACGCGAAACAAAACAACTTTACATTAAATTGAATTAAATTTTAACTTTTTATGGTATTTTACTCAGTATGTGCTGTTGTACACACCACGATTACACTGGAGGGTGTAAACTGGAAATAGTGTCTCCTGAATTGTCGAATCTTTTAATAAAACACCTGATCTTTTTTTTTTCTTATCTCTGTTTCCTATTCTTTTTTTTCGTTCAAACCCAAATTTTGACAGGGCTGGTCGTTTTATGGCACATTCTGTTTAGCAGAGGTCAAAACAAGGGTGAGGTGGGTCTAAGGGTACTATGCATCAACATAAGAAATAACATGAGTGTTCAAGAAGAGAAGGTAAATTCGATCATTTGGAGATAAAACATTACTTCTCTGTTCAGTAGATTTGGATTTAAGACACCTTTAGCATACTGATAAAGCAGGGTATAAACTTACAGGTTCACCAGCTCAGCGTTATTACTAAAGATGTCTGATGGTAATTCCCCCAACTGGTTGTTGTCTAAAATCCTAACAAGAAATAATAAAAAGCGGTGTTAATTACATTCTACGAATTAGAGAAGGTCAGGATCCACAATAAATGCATTCAAGTAAACCTTAAGAATCAAAGAGCTGGTACTTTCTTTTCGATTTTCCATATTCTGAACATTTTCATTTAGCCTAATATTGTTTCATTTGTCCAATTATTTTCAGGGAGACTGTAGTTAAGTGTGTCTAGGATCTATTTGATTAGTCTAATTCACGCATGGTAAGTCATTTTTGCATAAAATGAAGCAAGGTCACTTTACAGGGTTAAGGATGCTCGTATCGTCCCACTGGCGATCTTAGCGTTATAATCGTTACAGGAATAGATGAGCTATGATTATCTTTTTGTACTATACTATCTCACTGTTTTAGGATACACCAAAACAACTACCCACATTAGCATCAGTGCCTAGTGGTGGATATTCAAATGGCCATTTTACGGCTTGTTAAATATCTACCTCTATATCTAACAAACTACCTCCTCTTCGCTGAATAGTTGTTAGCTATCAACAATTTGTAATGAGGACAGATTTAATCTCGAAAAAGTGGTATTCCCTACTAATCAAATAAGATTTTTTTTTATTCCTTTCCTTTACGAAATTTGAGCGCATATAAGACATCCACGTGGTATCACGGAGTTTCCAAATACATGTTTTCCGAGTCCGCGCAATTCGAACGCTAGGTATGAATTTTATAAATCACCTCGAGATCCTCATCAACATATAATATTTTAGATTATATCGTTTGTCTCGATTCCTTAATTTCCACGGTAGATTTCCGACAGCAGGTCATTTAGTTATTTAATATCCGTGACCGGCAGTCGATCTCTTGCAATTTCTTCGTGTCAACATGTACATCTCACGGCTCCGCAGTCTAAGACCTGCGGTAAACTCGAGCGAGCGCTAGACACGAGATTTGTAAATCACTTCGGGATCACTTAGCAGTTCCTCGTCGACATAAAGTGTTTTAGATTGTATAAACTCTCTAATTTGTTAAGTTTTCAGAAAAATTTCCGACTGCCGGTCATTCAGTAGTTTGAGAACCTTGACCGGCTGCTGATCAGGTGACCAAAGCGGTCTAATATTAACGTCAAACAAGAACAACTCTACTGTTATTGACCAAATATAGCTTCATTCTAAGGTTAAATTACAAAATCACCGAAATCTTCTTTTTGCAATATACTTACTTCCCTAATGTGCCCGTTTCATGTTTTCTTTTTTTGA